CTGTTATTTTATATTCCCAGCGGAAATTTGCTTTTAGCTAGGAATGTCGCTAAGGGACCTAAGGTATTAAGCCGATAATTTAGTGGTGTTTTGGAAAGAATTAAGTTTCAGCTTCACCATTAGTGAAGCAGTGTTGTAGTCGTATTTGAAATGATTCGGAAAGAAGGAACTGAAGCAATGTGTACTATCAAGTTTGATTGATTTCCTGATTTTTGTGTTTTTTTTAGTATTATTAACAAGTTTGCTCCTCGTTAATTTTATTTGGTTAATTTCCTACATATAAACAAAATATTTTTAGGGGTTTAGGTATTCAGATTGTTGACAAAATTTTTTGCACGGTGAAAAAAGAGCTGTAGAAGAGGTGGGAACGACGATCGCACTGTTAACTTTGTTAGTTTAGGCTGTTAGTGTTAAAGCTGCAGTAGGAGATAAAGTATTTTTGTTTTGGCAGCTGATAGACAATCGTTGCTTGATTAATTTTAATCGGCTGAACAATGAGGAGGCAAAAGGAAATTTTTATTTTTATTTTATTTCAGAAAATGCGGTTAAAAAACTCTGTTTTTGAAATAATGAGACGTTGTTGTTTGCAGTAAATTTCTATGTACGATTGTGTTGTGATAGGTCGACAAGAACGATGCATTTTCAGTAGTCGCGTTACCGTTATTGTTGAATTGATGAATTCTGTATGTATGAACGTTGAAATAGCTGTTAAACGAAGGAAATAAGAAAAACGATTGGGAAAATGAAATAGCTTGATCATTGTAAACTGATATTAGATTTACATAGGTAAGGATTTAGTATCTTTAACGTTTCTTAAAATTTGAAAATTTAAGCTTCTATTTGGAAAGATTGTTCTTTTCAATTAGCAGCTACATTGAAGTAAGAGGAGGCAAAGTATTGTTTTGTTTTTTGTGTTTCTTTTTGAACATGGCTTTTTAAAATTTTGCTTATTCCACATGCGTTAAGAGACGTGAAGTTAAAGAAATTGGTTTTGACTCTTCCTAAAAGAAGATTGACTGTTGAAATTTTTTAAAGTAAATAATGCGTTTACAATATGAAACAAGCAACTTTTTTTGAATAAAAGTGTAAATAGTCAATTCTTGTCGATGATAATTTTTTAGCCGGTTTTGCTTTTCGTTTCTGATTTGAAGCAACAAAGTTTTTATGTTTTATTTTCATTTTTATCTTTATTTTTATGTTTTTTTAATTTTTGATTTTATACTGAAGAGTTTGTAGGAGTAAACGTAATATTTTGAGGTTAAATGATTAGCGGTAAAATTGATCATAACTGAACTAATTTTGGTTTGTTCTATTTGTGCTGTTGCTACTCTGTTGTCGAAGTGATATTTTAATGTGAAAACAAATTTTTTTGATAACGTTTTTTGCGCTTTGTCACTAAATTTTGTCTGTTCATGAATATTAGTTTTATATTTGTTGCAATAATTCCTAGATAGAAGGGATCGAGAAAGGGGAGAGAGTGGGATAAGATGTTTGAATAGTGCAGTAACAAATGTAAATTTCCGGTATGTGATTTGATCCAGAAGTAGCCAAGGAATTATAGAATTTAATTTATATAAACGATAGGCAGACGTGTTTGCAGTTTTTCCCCCGTTTTTGTTGCTCTGTTTGCAGCTGTTATTGGCTTTCTGTATCTTGTTTCATAGCTTTGTGCATAAATGTGTCAAATTTTCCTGATAAGGAGTGTATTAAGTGGATGGAAAGGAGGAGAAAGGGGGTTTGCGATAAGAATAGCGAGATATGGAGGCAAGAGAAGAGGGGATTGGTTGCTGTCGAGAAGCAGCGTGAAGAGGGAAGACAAATAAATAGGCTGTATTGAATCTAAAGCAGCTTTTTTTGGATCTTTTTAATCATTGGTTCAATCAAAATGTCATAGCGCTTCACGCTCGCTTATTTTTGTTCTTTTCAATATAAATTGCCGAAAAGGCTGTCATGGCTGTTAAGCTTCGTGTCATAATTTAGGATGCTGTGTTGTTGTTGTTGGTGGTGGTGGTGGTAGTTAAAAAAAAAACACAAGGAGAAAAGTAGTCAACGCTTTCTTGGGCGTTTTTCAATCTATTCACCCACGTTCCATACCTAAAAAAATCAAATTTTTCTTTCTCAACGGCATTTTCATCTTTGGTCTCTCACTTCTTACAGCTTACTGATATCATTAGCTGGAAGTTTAACAATTTATATATTGTTTAAAAATGTTTTTTTTTATTTTTATTAGCTTTTTTGATATGCAGAGATGTTTCTGTTTCGATAAGCAAATATTTTTTACTGTTTATTTTTTAGGGGGGAGGGGGGGGGAGAGATGGCATTACTGACGAGAAACTATTTTTATTAAATATTTTCTTACAATCGTTCACTTTAATGACCACTGGTTTTTTGATTATTCATTTTTTGCGAGTTTTGTGTCATGTTTCGGCCTAGAAATGATTTTTTTCCAAGTTTTGTCAGCTGGTGATTGTGCTTATCCAATTCAGTAGTAACTATGATATCCACGAACTGCTCTTGCAAGAGATATGTGGAATGTATTTTTTGAAAAAATGGAGGAATGGTCGGCTTTGTAACTTGTAGAAGTTTTAGAACCACTTTAATGCTAAGAAGTTGATAAGTTTTGTGTTGCTTGGGATCGGAAAAGTTTGCTGGCTAAAGGTCATCGAAAGAATGGGTAGGAGGGAGGAGGTCGGTCGCGGTGGGCTCTGCGGTGCGCTACAGTTCTGGTGCTGTTGTATGGGGTTTACCTGTGAACAACTGTTACCTGAAATGTTGTTAGACCGTAAAGAACCGGAGGGGCACCTAAAAAACATTAGACTATTGAATTCCGTTTTAAACTTAAACTTATTCTTCATCGTCGTTTTGTTTTTATTAATCTTTTTAGTCTGCGTGGTCGTTTAATTGTTGTTGACGGGTTTACTGGTTTAGTGCTATTGTCTTTTAGATTTTTCAGCAATTCAATTATTCCCGTGAGGTGGAAGTGCTTAAGTTCATGGAAGCAAGTTCGGGAATAAATTGAGGTTTTCATTTGTAGGTCTGGGTCGCAACACAGAACTATTGTTTAGTTGTAAACAGTTAGCAAAAAAAAAAAAAAAAAA